CTTGGAACAGAATGTGTTACCACTGTCGTATACATTTCCGTGCACATCAACGCTCGCGAGTCCGCGAGATCCGTGCTCGCGATTAATTAATTATCGCGCGAATTTCCGTACGCGCGGCCTCGGGGCATCAAGGGAACGAGGAACGTTCTACCGCAGACGTTCTCCACTTTCGATGCTACCGTGTCCGAGAGGCCACTGACAGAACTCCACGATTTTCCATCCTACTCGGCCGTTCCTCGTCCGCTTCGTCTCTCATCGAGGATGCGCGATGTGGAAGCGGGAGAGAGTGAGAGGCTTTATCGACCCGCGAGACCAGGGCCGGTTGAGAGTAGAGAACCCAGTGACTTCGGGAAATTGAGATTTCGTTTGAAGTGACAAATAGCGCTTAATCCGTGATGGACAAGGATGGGCTACAGAATTAATGAAGATTTTCACTTTAGATAACAGTTGAAATGCATTTCTGATACAATATAGAAAATATGATACGTTAAGACGAATTAAAAGGTCTTATCGTGTGAGAAAATATTGCTTGGGAATAATAAACTAAATATTTATACATATAAACTCCATTCTGATAAAAACAGTCGTAGAATATTATATGTTAATATAATACAACGCTTTTCATAAAATTATATTAATAATCTTGATATATTATAATTTAACGAAAAAAATGTTTCTTTGAGTTTCTCAAAAAACAAGAATTTTAATGTGATGTATTTTCTAAAATTATTTACACTTAGATTATCTATTTTGAATTCTTAATTAAAGTTAAAAAAAACTTGAAAATTATATAGATGTTTTTTGTATTATTATTGAGAAAAAATCGATAACTAACTAAAGAACTTACAACAAAATCTATATAGTTCTACTAATATAAAGCACACATAATTAACATTGAGTAATTTCATAACGAGCCGCAGCCTCACTTACCGTCATGTGAAATTAATAGTCGTAATACAATTTTAAGAGCAAATTCGATTACTTTGCGAACGCACGTATCCAAGCAGAACAACAAGTCATTATAGTATCAAAATGATGTCAAAATAACTTCAAAATGTCATTTAAGATTCATTTTAACGTCATTTTAACGTTAAATTATGACTTGTTGTTCTGCTTGGGTACAAACATAAAAGCAGAATAAATTAATAGATAATATTGTGAAGTCAAATGTGGATATTAGAGGACTACTTGAAGTGCGTGATGCTTCTATTTCGTATCGTAAGTCAACGTGTTTTAATTAACGAGGAATACATTAAAATAATTGTTGGTATAAACCACACCTTCGCCTCAAGCGATTATATTATTTTCATGATTACAAATCATTTGCACTCGCAGATTCATGTTCATTTTGTACAATAAAATTGTAAATAATATTTGTGTAACGCACTAATTATATCACAAAATTTACATTGCAAAAAAAATCTGAGTCTATAACAAAAATATTTATTCTACTTGAAACTTGTTTATTTTTGTTTTTCACAAATTTTATGATTTTTAAATCTCAAAAATATACGCTGTATATAACTACAAAAAAAATATATTTACATCTCTTACCGTTAGTACTTTTCTGATCAATGTAAAAGTAAAAAAATTATTTATTGTACAAAAAATTATTTATGAGAAATCATATGTATTATATTTTAGAAATGTAATATATTTTAGAAATCACATATATTTCAAGAAATGCTGATAAGGTCCTTTTTATTGCGACAATCTGTAATCTCTCTATCGAGATTCTCATTCTTTTCTTGCTCCTAATTCTTTTAATTCTAATCTAATATATTGATTTAATCACAGAAAAAAAATGTTGCTGGCTACAGCTAATTCTGATTAGCTGAAATGCATTAACTACTATAGCTATGAAATTTGCTAATACATACAAAGGATTTGCTGTAGCTAATATAAGAACGTGATAGCAAAGTATGCATGTCTGTTACAGATCAATTTATTTAGCAGCATGAAGTTAATTATCGGATATGTCAGTGTAAAAGAAAATTGTTTCTACCACAGCTAAATATGGTTTGTTGAAACTGTACTTGCTATCAAATTGTTTGCTACATAGAAAACGTTTGCTGCAATGATCAATAGATCGACATAATAGCAAAATGCTTGTTTGTTACAATGATAATATTTAGGCTTCACAGTTAATAGAAATTAGACCTCGTAGATACGATGTTAGGTATCCATATATTATGATTAGAATTTACCACACGCAAATTTTTGCTGCTACTAATCTTTTGCTCAACTAATCTTTTTTTTGTGCATTTTTCGCGTCACATCTGTTCTTTTTCTTTCTTTACATTACAGTAAATAAAATAATAAACATGTTAATGACAAAATATAAGAATTGTTTTCATTTTAATTAATTAATTATATTATTTTGTATTTCTGCTGAAAACTTTATTTAGTATATTAACTTTTGCAATTTAAAAATAACTATTTTAATGTTATATTATAATTATATTATATATTACATATTGTTACAATTAATATTAATTTTTATAATTTAACGTAATATTAAACTAATATATTTTAAAAGACTATAGATATATATAGATTTCTGAGAATAAAAAAAAATAATATTTTAAATCCTTTTTTAATAAAATTATATAATTGTTACATAATAATTATATAAGAGTATAGTAAAATTATTAAATTTATATCAGGTTCATTAAGCTCTTATTACATTGAAATAATATGTGTTCTAACATTTCTGCATCTTTCACATGTAGTTTAATTCAATTACACTATTTTGTTTCAATATTATCAAAGTCGACTTAAAAATTTTTTTCTGATTCTAGCAAATATCTTTACTGTAATTTTCTTATTTTCCTATTTATAATAACGAGAAAATCCTTAATATCTGAAAAATAAATATATTAAAACATATCCAGATAGCAAGTTAACGTTATTTATCGTCGTTTTAACGTGGAAATAATGCTTTTATAACGATATTTTGATATAAAAATAATAATAATAATATCTGCTTGCTACATCTGAGTATAAAAACATATAGAAAAGTTCTAAATATTCTGGGATGCTATTGAGCATCAGAGTATGGTATAGACATATGATTATATTATAATCTTATCATCTTATATAACAAAAAAAACATTATATATCATCATGGACCATTCTTTCTTGTCATGAGCAAAAAAGAATGTACCTAATACTTTTTTTTTATTGTTTCTTTCAAAATATTAAGGAAAGTTATTACTTATTAAACTCGTTCAATTTTAAACATATATTAGTTGTCCTTGTAATTAATATAAAAATGATAATTAAAAAATTTTTTAAAATATATTTATTAGGAGTTGGAATTAATTCGTAGCGTTTTTTTAATGAAAGAACGTTATTTATTTCGTTTTTCATTAATTAAAGTACTTCCCATCACTTTCTACTACTTTTGACCATCTTTCGGGCAGTGAATGAATACCGCGTCGGAAGAACTGTTCGTCTTTAGATGAAATCCACGAATCGAACCATTTTTTCATCAACTGATGTTGATGGTTCGCCGGGCTTAACCCATGACTTTCTGC